TTCTGTTTGTGCAGAATGCTGTTTTGATGTTGTGTTTATAGAGGATCTTGCTGATTCTGTCTGTGGTGCCTTTTATGTATGGGAGGCGGGCTTTGCCGTTTTCTTGTTCTCTGTCTTGGATTTTACTGGGGGTTTCTTTTTGGATTAGGTTTGTAATCTTATTTCTTTGGAATCTATTGGATGTTAGTACATTGGTGAGAGTGTGTAGTTCGGTTTTTAGGTGTTGTTCATCAGCTAAGCGTTTTTTTCTGGAGATGAGTGTCTTGGCTACGGAGTTGATCTGTGCTGGGTGGTGGTGTGAGAGAGCATGCAGATAGCGGTTTGTGTGTGTTTTCTTCTGGTAGATGGTGTGTCCTAGGGAGCCATTGGATTTCTTGTAGACTAAGATATCCAGGAAGGGAAGTTGGTTATTAGCTTCTGTTTCCATGGTGAACTGTATTTTGGGGTGTCGGCTGTTGAGGTGTATGAGGAAGTTGTCCAGTTTTTCTTTCCCATGTGGCCAGATTATGAAGGTGTCGTCTACGTATCTGAGCCAGAGTTTGGGTTTGTGATCAGATTTTTCTAGAGCTTGGATTTCAAAGTGTTCCATGTAGAGGTTGGCAATGACAGGTGAGAGGGGTGATCCCATGGGTGCTCCTTCTGTTTGTTTGTATTTTTGTCCATTATAGATGAAGTATGTGTTGGATAGGCAGTGGTTGGTCAGATATAAGATGTGTTTGGGGGGGTTATATTTGTTTTGGATAGCTGTCAAGGCTTCTTTGATAGGCACTTGGGTGAACAGGGATATGACATCGAAGCTGTCGAGTAGGTCGCTAGGCTGTAAGTTTTGTTTCTTTATGATCTCTAAGAAATGGAATGAATTTTTTACGTGTGAGGTGATGGATTCTGCATAGGGCTGTAGTTGTTTGGCGAGAAATTTGGCTAGTTTTGTAGAGGTGAGCCTATGGAGGTGACTATGGGTCTGAGTGGGGTTCCTTCTTTGTGTATCTTGGGGAGACCATAGAGTTTGGGGCATCTGGATGATTTCTCTCTGGGAATGATTCTTTGCTGGATCTCTTCGCTAATGGGGAGGGCTTTTATTTTGGATCTGGTGATTTTTTCCAGGTAGGTGGTGGGATCTGTGTTTAGGGGTTTGTATGTGGAGTCTTGGAGTAGGTTGGTTAATTTGGTTTGGTAGTCAGATGTGTTCATAACCACTGTGGTGTTGCCCTTGTCTGCTGGTAGGATTATTATGCTGGTGTCTTCTTTCAGGTTACGTAGTGCTGTCTGTTCCTCTTTGGGTAAGTTGTTTTTGGGTGGCTTGCTGGTGCAGAGGATGTTGGTGATTTCGAGTCTGATTCTGTTAGCGTCATCGGGGTTGATTTTGGTCAGGCTGGTTTCAACTCCACATATAATGGTTTCAGTAGGGATGTGTTTGGGAGTGACTGCAAAGTTGAATCCTTTGGAAAGGACATTGGTTTCGGCTTTGGTGAGGATTCTATCTGAGATGTTAATCACTGTTTGTTTCATGTGTGGCTGTGAGGGAGGAGGGGTTTGTTTCTGGCGTTCTTGTAGTCTTCAGAGTTTGTTGGTGTGTGTGTCTGTTTTGAGGGTGGTCTGTGTTTCGGCTCTCCAGACGGCGAGTTGTTTGGATTTGTCCCAAAGTGTGGAGTGGATCTTGTTGCTGAGTTTGAGGTGAAGTGTGAGGAGATCTTTGTTAATTCGGTCTAGGAGGAATCTTTTTGTGTGAAGTTCATTTCTGATTAGGGCCAATTCTGTTCTTTTCAGGATGCGTTTGGTGGCTGCAGAGTTGGAGTGGAATTTCAGCTGGAAACATGTGGAGATTAAATTTTGATCTCGGCAGTTGCGTAGGAATGCGAGGTTGCATAAAATGGAAGCTCTTTGGACTTCAGGTTTTTCATAGGTCCTGAGCCAAACTCTGGCTCAGATATGTAGACGACACCTTCATAATCTGGCCACATGGGAAAGAAAAACTGGACAACTTCCTCACACACCTCAACAGCCTACACCCCAAAATATAGTTCACCATGGAAACATCCTTCCTGGATGTCTTACAAGAAATCCAATGGCTCCCTAGGACACACCATTTACCAGAAGAAAACACACACAAACCGCTATCTGCACGCTCTCTCACACCACCACCCAGCACAGATCAACTCCGTAGCCAAGACACTCATCTCCAGAACAAAACTCTTAGCTGACGAACAACATCTAAAAACCGAACTACACACTCTCACCAATGTACTAACATCCAATGGATTCCAAAGAAATAAGATTACAAACCTAATCCAAAAAGAAACCCCCACTAAAATCCAAGACAGAGAACAAGAAAACGGCAAAGCCCGCCTCCCATACATAAAAGGCACCACAGACAGAATCAGCAAGATCCTCCATAACACAACATCAAAACAGCATTCTGCACAAACAGAAAAATATCCACCATCCTAAGAAACCCCCAAAGATAAAATTGAGTTAGAAAATCAAGGAGTATATGAAATCCCATGCACTGCTTGTCCCAACACATCATCGGACAAACCAACAGAAGAATAAGTGCACGTACTGAAGAACATAAGAACTCAGTCAAAAAAGAGGAACCAACATCTTCCCTGGTCCAACACCTTAAAGCCACAGAACATGAAATTGACTTTAAAAATATCAGAACTATCGCCAAAACTGAACATTTTAATAACAGAATAATCAGAGAAGCCATCGAGATAGAAAAACGCCCACACAGCATGAACAAACGAGATGATACCTCCCGCCTATCAGCCATTTGGAAATCCACCCTTATTGACAAACGACTCTTTAACAAAAAATGACACCCAAAAACCACACAGGATGTCACCACCACACATCCACGCAAAAAGCAAACCCAAAGCCACATCGATGATGAAGCATGACCACAAACCAGAAGCCAGACCACAGCTGCATCATTAGCCACTTTAAACCCCTCCATTCCATACATGAAGCAAACTGACACCCACCATGAAGATGAGGCACGACCACAAACGTGAAGCCAAAAAATAGCAAGGCAGCCCACCATCTTAAACCCCTCTGCAACTCAGACTAACCTGAGCACAACAAAGCCCCTACCCAAACAGAACATTCCCCCAGCCAATCAGAGCACAGCCAACCCCCCAGCCAATCAGAGCACAGCTAAGCTCCTAACCAATCAGAACACACCTCCACCCAATCAGAACACAGCCAAGCTCCCACCCAATCAGTTCATACCCCCACAGGCAGTTAAAAGGAAGAAACAGCTAAAACCACACATTGCTCCTTGAAGCTGAAAACACCAGCCTGAAGATGACGAATGGGACTTCGTCGAAATGTCGCCAAGACACTTCTAATTTTACGCGGGAGAAAACCCGAATAACCAAAGACCTACATATATATATATATATATATATATATATATATATATATATATACATATACATATACATATACATATACATATACATACACACACACATATACATACACACACACATATACATACACATACATACATATACATACAGACACACACACACACACACACATACATACAGACCGGTTTGATCGATTGCACCTTGGCATTTTAACTGCTATACTGCAGTTCTACTTTTTTTTTTTAATAATCACTTTTGCCTTGCAGCCCCCCCCCCAACGAGGGGCGTTAAGCAGGCTCAAGTTGCTACTGCGATACATTACAAATTCAGATTTGTCAGCAAAAAGAAATCTGAATATATATATATATATATATATATATATATATATATATATATATATAAGGTAAAAAATTATATATGCACTGTTATCTTCATTTTAGATATCAAAAGAGTTTTATGGCTCCCAGTGTTTTGTTTTCGGTGGGAAACGGGTCCAAGTGGCTCTTTGAGTATTTTGGGTTGCCTACCCCTGCACTATGAGAATAGTGAGGGAGGAGCCATTTTAATCTTCTTCTTAAAAAAGATGTTGAGACTCTAGAAAGAGTACAGAGAAGAGCAACAAAGATGATTAGGGGACTGGGGGCTAAAACATATAAGGAACAGTTGCTAGAATTGGGTATGTCTAGTTTAACGAAGAGAAGGACAAGGGGGGACATGATAGCAGTATTCCAATATCTCAGGGGCTGCCATAAAGAAGAGGGAATTAAGCTATTTTCCAAAGCACCTGAAGGCAGGACAAGAAGCAACGGGTGGAAACTAATCAAGGAGAGAAGCAACCTAGAACTAAGGAGAAACTTCCTGACAGTGAGAACAATTAATCAGTGGAACAGCTGCCTCCAGAAGCAGTAAATGCTCCAACACTGGAAGTTTTTAAGAAGAGACTGGACAGCCATTTGTCCGAAATGGTGTAGGGTTTCCTGCCTGAGCAGGGGGTTGGACTAGATGACCTCCAAGGTCCCTTCCAACTTTACTACTATTACTATTATTGACCAAACTTTTCTAGTTCTTTAGCCACGTTACCTTCTGGAAAGATGCCACTCCTCCTGGAAATCCAGACTGTATTCCACAATTTGCCAGAACAAGCATTTCCTCAGCATACAATTACCTACAAAATTCTTTTCCCTTTACAATGCCTACTGGAATTAGTTTCTTAATGGAACTTTTATGCATATAGCAAATGGCTTCCAACTAAATGATATCCCATCTTGGCAAGCTTATATGCAGATTTAAATTCCATGACATAACAAAAATGGGATAAAATCATAAATAGCTTGTTATTCAAGAGAGGAAAATTTCTTATTATTACAAAAGTCAGTTATGAAAATTTATCTAGCTATCCAAGAAGCTTATATGAGACATAATTAAAAATTGCAAGGCTACTTGCATCTTCATTCTACATCTTAAATTCAGGCTTTTCTCAAAATTCTCAAGTTATCTTATTCTTAAGTAGAAAATTTGTCCCTTAAGAAAGATTATAACCTTCTAACTTCTAAGAGAATCCTACGTGAAGAAAAAATTGCGTCTTATGGTTATAATAATTGTAAATGTAAACATAACAATACCAACCATCTCCAGCTGTATCCAAGGAACGAAGATACTGCAGTTCTTCTGTGGCTTTATCTCTTACTGCTTCTAACTCTCCTATTTTATCACTTACTTTAACTATGTTCATAAAGGCCTCATAATTGCAAATTGAATCACGAATCTGAAATATGTGAGAAAGAAAAAGTTTATAAAAACACATTTTTCAGATGTGAATTTTATATATAAATAAGAACTTGCTTTTAAAGTCTGCATTTATATACCATCCCCTAAAATCGGATACAACTAGCAGAGTAAGACCCACAGGGAATCCTTTACCTTTTATATATATAGTTGCTTAGAGAAGTCCATGATTTCAATAAAGGAAAATATTCATCGAGAAGGTCAGGGTTTAAATGAGTACATCAAGTACACGAATGTTGAAAATAGGCAACAATCACAATCAGGGTATTTGTTACCTATAAAACTGTCTTTCCTCACTAACTATGAACCCTAATGTAGCCAAATTCTGTATCTACAATATTCACTCATTTCTTATTTAGAAAATATAGACAACAACATACAAATATAGATAGTCTTTGCTTACTAACCATTCATTCAGTGATTGTTCAAACTTATAAATGAAAACAAAGATTTACGATTAGTCTTCAAAGTTCTGGTAACCCAATGGTCATAGATCATGATTTGGGTGTTTGGAACCAGCCCATATTGATGATAGCAGCATCTCACTACCTTCATAGCTACCTTCCAACAAGCAAAGTCAATGAAGAAGCTGACAGGAAATGGCAAGTTGTGATCATGTAACATCACACTTTCAACCACCAGTTATTTGTTTACTGATCTTAGCAGGAATTGATGTTTTATGTCAGCCCGATCATGTAACACGATGCTAAATGACTGCAGTGGTAGAATTGCTGGTGCCTATTGTGGTTGATAAGGAAGGACTATCAATAATAAATACAGACTTGAAATTGAAGAAAAATTGGGTTTACCTTTATATTACAAATGCAAATATATCCTTTCATACATATTTATCTATTTATCTCTCTCTATATATCTATTTATTTCTCTATGTTTATATATCCAAATTATCCATCCATGTTTTATCTATCTGTTATCTGTCTATCCTGCATCCACCCATCATCTCCAGGAATTTTTTTTTTTAACCCCTGCTTTTTCTGAATCAATTTTGCTGCTGTCTTCAAGAATAGGAGGCAGCTGAAGCTGAGATATATTTACTTAACTAATCTGTTTAGCCTGAAAATTGTTGGTTCCTGCATTGCCAGGTTTGGCTTTATGTACCAAAATTTTTTAAATAACTTACCATACATATGAAATGCTGATTAATATAATCAGGATCACTGAGCTGATTTATTAATGGGAGAAGAATTCCTTGAGAAAGGATTTCCTGAAAAAAATGGACAGTAAAATTAGACTTACTGTGGCTATACAAATTGAATGAATGAATGAAAAATCTTTCATATATTTTGAAAAATACATTTAATATACTTTAAGGATTATTTTCAATAAGTAGCAGCCAGTTTTCAGATTTATATCCTTAAGTAAGCACAAGCACTTTTTAACTCTAAATACCAAACCCAAGAAGAACATAATTAAACTGAAATCCTTTTTCATTAATCATCTTTCACTCCAATTTAATACAAAGAATGGCTGCATACACTGTCTCCATTTAAGCACTGCAGAGTCCACACAACTCAGTACTTAAATTATTTAAATACACTACCAATTATTTAAAACCTCTACTATCCTGATTTCAAATTACAGAATCTATACCAACATCTTGGCCTTGAGTTACTAGTTTGAACTTTTCACCCAAACATTGAGATTTCTATGAAGGAAAGAGGAGGAATGCTGAAAAGATGAACAGGAACTAAGATTGCAAGAAAAAATGAAAGGTCTGAAATATGACCCAAATATTGATTCTGAATTAACTTTCCTTTTTCAAAAGTTTTTGAAAATCTTGTATTCTTGAAATACAAGATATTTATATTTGATAACTGTGTTTGTTTAGATCTCTGGAGAAAGCCTACTGTCCAATTCTTCCTTGTTTTCGAGGACCACTGAAAAGACATATTCAGTAGATTTTTCTCAATACAAACATACTACCCATGATAACAATAAATGGTATGATGCAATCCCATTCATCTTCTTGTCATCATAACTGGATAATAAAAATTAGCCTGAAAAAAGACTAATTTTGTTAGTCTCTGAATCTTAAGTCAGTTCAATGTAAAGTTTTTTAACAACAGAATCTCATAGATATAATACAATAAAAATGTAATGAAGATAACTGTATATAGTTTGCATACTGAAAAAACAGCACAGATAAAAACTAGTTTTCATTAATATTTTATGCAACAGATTAGTTAGAGATAGCCTACTATCACCTGGGTTGTCTACATTTTGAAAATGATTTAGAAAAATAATTAAGTTCTATGTATGAGTGCAGCAACTCTTTACTATTCATTCAGTAGTCTGACAAATTTTAGGGCTCTGTTCAAGCCTGAAGATACTGCTGCAAAAAAATTAGGCTACCTTGTTGAATAGCAGACAAATGACACAAATATGAAGTCTGAAGCATTTTTTCCTAATCATGATTTTAAATTCCATGATAACAACTAATGGCTACATATCAATAGTTATTGTTAATAATGAAACATGTAATGGTGCTATTTTAAAACCTGCATTTTTACAGTATAAATTAATTTTAGTGTTTTATTCTATGCATATCAACACCAAATTACAGTTCTCCTCCATTTACAACTTCAATTGTGATCAGAATATGACTGGACATACATTTACAACCATTTTTACTATGATCATTTACTATGATCATCAAATCACCATGGTTTGTTACATAAATGATTGTTAAGCAAATCCATTCCCTAATTAATACTACTTGCAGAAACTGGCAAGAAAAGTCACAAATCACCATCACATGAATGCAGGATAGTGAACTGGTTGTAAATGTGAGCTGTTTGTCAGGTATCTGAAATGCGATTATGTCACTAGAGGGATGATGTGATTAGGTTCAAGGACAGGTTATAAATTACTTTTTCTGAGGTTATTGTAAGTTTGAACTGTTCTTGAACCAACGTCAAATGTCAAGGACTATCTGTAGGTTCTGCTTACCTCAGGAAAAAGAGTCTGATAAAATATTTGCGTGTTTGCTACAGCATTTTTCCAGAATATTTTCTAATTTTCCAATCTATCTTACAGCTTTATTGTTTAACTAACTAGATTAAATCTTGCTTAGCTTTTCAAGATCACCCAAGTTCAGCTAGATTACTTTCAAACAAATATCATATTATGGACTTCATTTTATGAATTTTGGGAGATATCAGATGTCCCAACCACTTTATACATTTTAAAGAGAGAAGGATGCTGGCATATAATTAAAACTTTACTTAAGAGGATGTTGTGTTAAAATATGTTTAAACTGAGAAGATAACTATAGTTATTAAGAAGTGGTAAAAGAAAGGTAGTAGAGCAGTAGCTCTTGAAAATACAGTGGCAAAATTAATAGTGACAGAGCTGGAAAAAAAGATGATACACTATTATAATCATCATTATCATTTTATCCTGGGTTTTTTTATACAGAGAATCCTCAACTTACTACCACAATTAGGACTGGAATTGCCTGTGAGTTGGTTGCATCATTAGGAGGCGATGCCCACCCCAGCGCCCAATGTGAAAAACGTCGCGATACAACAGGACACGTCACTTGACGCGAATTTGATACTCGTGCTCTAAGCAATATGATCGTTAAGCGAGTCATCATGTGACCAGACTCAATTTTACAACCATTTTTATTGCAGTTAAATGAATCACAAGATTAAATGAATCATGGATTTATTAAGTGAATCTGATTTCCTCAATTAACTTTGTTGGAAGCCAGTTGGGAAAGTCACAAATCACTGAAAGGTGCTTCAATCATTGTAAAAGCAAGCCAGTTACCAAGTGCCCAAATTGCAATAATGTGGCTGTGATTTGGAATGTAACAGTCACAACTTTGAAGATGGATTGTCATAATTTAAAATTGTCATTCAATGAACGGCCATAGTCAAGAACTACTTGTGTATAAGTGTGGCTGCATTTTGGAAAACACAAAATAAAATATAATCTATAATTATTAGACTAGAATCTAATAAGATTAGCTTTATAACATTTATGTTTAGCATGAAGCAAAAGCTGATGCAGTGTCTGCTACAGTTTTTCTCATCATTGTCTTTTTTTTCAGGGTAGCAGGGAGAAAACCAATGATTTCAAATAAATACTCTACACATAACAAATCAGTCCACAGAAGCTTCATTTCAAACAGAACTCTCCTATCCCAAATGTATATGGTTGTAAAAGCAAACACTTCAGATATAAGTCTCTTCAAGAGTATGCAGGTACAACAATTCTGCATTTATAGTATAAAATTACCATTAGATAATATGAAGAAAAAAATATGAAAAGCAATAAAAATAAATATATAGCAGATAGCAAAGTATCTAAATATTTTTATTATAAATTGTCTAAAATATTTTAGTGACACAAGTCAAGCATACAAATATTCTACTATATAAAATATATAATATAAATAAACCCCCCATAGTCACTCCAGACTGAGATCAGGATAAACCAATAAATAAATAACCATAAAGCAGAGAAAACTGAAAACAAAAAATTATAATGTAGCCTGGCTCATAAACATATATACCCAAATGTGACTGAATGAGAAAATGACAGTAGTGTGACTTTTTTAAAGGAACTACTAAAATTATTTTAAATAAAAGGAATGATATGCACACAACAAAGTTATCTGTATTCTTATACAGGTAATCCTTGAGTTACAACAGTTCACTTAGTGACTGTTCAAAGTTGTGACATAACCCCCCCAATTACTTATGACAGTCCCAAAATTATGAATTTTGCAGCACCATGACAACCTTATAAACAATCACAGAGGCACTATAACATTCGCCCTGCCTATTCCCTCCATCCGCTTTTGCAGAGAATGGTGGACTGAAGGCCCACAAGATCACAGTGCCCAGAAGCTTTCAGGCTTTGGGCAAAAGTTTGCAAGCCAATGGGACACTTTGAGGCAACATGATTTCACTGCCCCAACCCCTTCCGTCCACATGCAAACACTTTTCGTGCCGAGACTAGAAGCCTTTGGGGGAGACTCACCAAGGCTGCTCAATGTTCCACATGTGGCATGCAGCCTCGATGAGTCAAGAAACCAAGCAGGGCGCACTCGTCCTGATCTCCCCACTCCGCTTTTGGAGCGCCAGGAGCACGCACAGAAACCGTGACAGAAAGGCTGGAGAAGGGACAGCTCACTAGATCTTCATAAGGTGAGTCTCCACAGGTCCAGTTCCTGTGGAAACCTGGCACGGCAGGATGAAAGGAGCAATTATGGGGAACATGAGGTATCTCAATGGTTGGGTGAAGCCTTGAGTGGACTTAAACAGCTGACTTGTTTTATCAGTAGGCCCGCCCATGGCCTTCCCCACACTGAGATACCTCCTGTGCACTTAATCAACTGCACATTTGATTAGCGAATGCGTGGGTAAAAGCAGGTGTTTTCACATTCATTTTATGTGATTCACTCCAACGAATCCTTGGGTTATGAATGTAATGGGCAGACACCATCACATTCGTAATTTGAGTACTACCTATATACAATTATGTAAGATGTCTAGAATTATAAGATATAGAAGTATTAGAAATAGCAGAGAATTAATACATGCCTCCTATATTTCCAGGCAGATGTTTTTTGCCTCAGTCAGAGCTCTTGTTCAAAAGATGACTCAATACCATGTTGATGTAAAATAATGAAGAGCAAAATGAACTTGGTCAATCTCTGGGACTTCTTTAAAAACAAGTTCTCAACTGTAGACTGCCCATTTTATTTTCAGATAGTGCTAATGAATATTATATTTAATAATTATTTAAAAATTGTATATATTATTATATAAACATTATTTATATTTATATAAATATTTAAATAATATTTATATTATTATATAAATATTATGCAGCTCTTAGGCTAAAGAATATTAGAATACTGCAGTGATATAATATGAAATTAAATTTACCCTGACAAAATATCTCATGATCTTGTTCTGGAAGTCCCCGGGAGGTAGCAATAAATACAGTAAAACTTCACATAGATCCCTTAGGAATCCTAAAAGTACAAGGTAAGAATGTGTATCAAAATCTAGTAATATTCATCTATCCATCTATCCACCTATCTACCAAGTTTTTACATACTTCAAATACCATTGACAATTTTAGATGTAAATATACATCTAAACTTTAGATAAGTTTAGTGACAGGATTAAATATTGGAAACATTTTGCAACATTTCTAAACTAAAGAAAAAATATTATAAAAATACTAGTCCTTTTCCCAACAGTAGAATTAAATGTCATATCTATGATATAAAAATGCTTATTGACCACCAAATAACTATCAATATAGACATTTAGTCAAATCAAGTAATTTCTTCTTCCCTTAAACAGTTCACTGCAGACATTTAATTTTTCACCAGTCATACAATCATATTTTTTCTTTTAAAGTATATAATCCTTTTATAATTAATTATATAGTCATATAATTTGCACATAATAGCTACTAATTTATCCTATGTATGTTTTAAAGCTTAATAAAAAGTTATCTGTGTCTATACTGTATAATATAGACGATGATCAGCACATTTCATTTAAAGCATAATTAAGAAAGAAAATAATCATATACCTTCTTCATCTTTGGGAGATGTGCAGACTAGATCACGACAGATGGTCTCTTCCATTTCAACTTCAACTTCAAAAAATGTATCTACAAGATCTTCTGCTCCATCTACACCAAAATTGGAAACTTCAGCAGATTTTATCTAGAAGAATTTGGTCTGCAATTATCCCTACTACTGAAGTAATTGCATTAATATTTCTCCTCCTTATTAACATTTGTTATTTTAACATTTATGAACTATTTATATATAGTTTAATAATTTAATTATTTTTTCCTACATTTTCAAAGGTATCCAGTTGCTAATGAAGAGACTTACTGTCAATTTCGAAGAATACATTGTATGTACAACTGTACTGCATTTACAGTATACAGTGTAGATAGTGTCTTCCACATCAGGCAAAAGACAGCAAGTAATATGTTCTTGTGTTTGAATGTATAACACAAAGCAAAAAAGAATAATTCTTACTGGTTTGTGCGGTAGGAAGCAAACTGTTATTTGCTAGATTGTACTGTATTGTATATCCTGTATTTCCATTTCTTTTTAGTTACCTTGCAAATCATGTGAAGAGGGCCAAAATATTCTACATTCAAGACCAACAGTTGATATACTCTATCCCTTCAAGTTATCTTCCTTCCATCCAGGGTTATAGTGAGGGGAAAAATTATTTGATCCCCTGTTGATTTTGTATGCTTGCCCAATAACAAAGAAATGATTAGTCTATAATTGTAATGGTAGGTTTATTTTAAAAATGAGACAGAATAACCGCAAAAAAATCCAGAAAGACGCATTTCAAAAAAGTTATAAATTGATTTGCATTTTAATGAGTGAAATAAGTATTTGACCCCTTTGCAAAATATGACAGTATTTGGTGGCAAACCCCTTGTTGGCAACCATAGAGGTCAGATGTTTCTTGTAATTGGCCACCAGGTTTGCACAAATCTCAGGAATGATTCTGTCCCAATCCTCTTTGCAGATCCTCTCCAAATCATTAAGGTTTCAAGGCTGATGTTTGGCAGCTCGAACCTTTAGCTCCCTCCAGATTTTCTACAGATTAAGGTCTGGAGACTGGCTAGGCCACTCCAGGACCTTGATGTGCTTCTTCTTGAGCCACTCCTTTGTTGCCTTAGCCATGTGTTTTGGGTCATTGTCATGCTGGAATACCCATCCATGACCCATTTTCAATACCCTGGCTGAGGGAAGGAGGTTCTCACTCATGATTTGACGGTACATGGCCATGTCCATCATCTTTTTGATGCAGTGAAAATGTCCTGTCCCCTTAGCAGAAAAACATCCTTAAAGCATAATATTTCCATCTTCATTGTTTGACGGTGGAGATTGTGTTCTTGGGTCATAGACAGCATTCCTTCTCCTTCAAACACGGCGAGTTGAGTTCATTAGCAAACTTCAGACTGGCCTGTACATGTGCTTTCTTGAGCAGGGGGACCTTGAGGGCGCTGCAGGATTTCAGTCCTTCACAGCATAGTGTGTTACCGTTTTCTTGGTGACTGTGGTCCCAGCTGCCTTGAGATCATTGACAAGATCCTCCTGTGTAGTTCTGGGCTGATTCCTCACCTTTCTCATGATCATTAAAACTCCACGAGGTGAGATCTTGCATGGAGCCCCAGACCAAGGGAGATTGACAGTTATTTTGTGTTTCTTCCCTTTGCGAATAATCGCACCGTTGTTACCGTCTCACCAAGCTGCTTGGCAATACTCTTGTAGCACATTCCAGCCTTGTGTAGGTCTACAATCTTGTCCCTGACATCCTTGGACAGCTCTTTGGTCTTGGCCAAGAGTTTGGAATCTGATTGATTGATTGCTTCTGTGGACAGGTGTCTTTTATAGAGGTAACAAACTGAGATTAGGACCACTCCTTTTAAGAGAGTGCTCCTAATCTCAGCTCATTAACTGTATAAAAGACACCTGGGAGACAGAAATCTTGCTGATTGATAGGGGATCAAACACTTATTCCACTCTGTCTCTCACTGTTAAAATAAGCCTACCATTACAATTATAGACTGATTGTTTCTTTGTCAGTGTGCACACATACAAAATTAGCAGGGGATCAAATAATTTTTTCCTTCACTATATGAGTTCTGGCTGAATAGAAATTAAACAAGAAAGCTTTTCTACAGAAGGCAATCTATCTCTGGCCAGTAATTTCTGTTTATGCAGGAATCCAATGCTGGACTTACATAACCACAATGTTCTAATCCCTCCCTTTAAATTCCCTTGCAATTGCCTCTATCTTCCCTTAAAAAACATAAGGTATAATATAGGAAAGCCTAAAATCAGGGCAAGGATGAAGAAAGCAGAAAAAAATAGTGGTGGAGCATGTTTTTGTGTCAAGCAGTACAATGCGTGCCATATACAATATGCTATTTATCTATAATGCAAACAGAACAGTTACTGAATTAAGGGATTTTTAGTGGAAAAAACAAGGTGTACCTTCTGTATTGCTGTTCTACTTCTGGAACAGCATTGATCCTGAGATCCATATGGCCATGACTTTCAGGCAAGTCTTAAAGACTTAACTTTTCCAGTAGGCATTGTATCAGGATGATTTGTGAATTCACCGATTTAGTATTGGTTTCAAGTTTTCATACTCTCTGGATGCCTGTCTATTATGTTTACAATATTATTTTATTGTTACATTGTGTTAACGTTTTTGTACACCTTGAATTGCATCAAAATTAGATGGCCTTATAAATATAATAAAATGAATATAAAAATAGTAGTAACTTTATACATAGACAGATTTGAATTAATGCAGCTTAGAAAAGAAACTGCCTTCATTTAATTTATTAAAACATTACTATAAGGAGAACATATTTAGGCAGTACCTTTAATCTGATCATCTCTTTCACTTATTCTTTGCTGAGCTTTTCTAAATACTCTAAGATGAGTAGTAAAATCATCTACAATTCGAGTAGTAAAATAAGGCTGCCAATCTATTTCTTTTGTCCTTAAAAATAAAAAAATTGACAATGTATTAAATAACAGACTTCTAATACAAATTGACACTTTTCTCTGATCTTAACTTGTTCATTGGATTATAATTAGATTATAGTTAGATTTTTGACACTACAATAACATGTACTGTTTTGCTAAGATCATTTTGATTTAATATCTCATAGATGCTGTTTTACAATTTGTTTGGCTTTTGTATATCTAAATGTCATACAAAATGGAGAAAGGTCTCAGTTTGATTTCAACAAAATTATCCAGCTGGAATGACATTGATCATAAAGACTTAAGGCGATAGCCTTCTACACAACATATTAATTTCAGCCAATTCATGAATCTGCTTTGCCAAAGCCAGGCTTCTGCAAAATAAAGCTAGCTTTAATTTGTAGTGAAACATTTTGAACACAACAGAAAATATAAAACATTGCCATTAAGAATTTCTCAAGATGATGAAGGTGTTCCTTATTATAGGTGCATATGTCTGCATCATAAAGAAACTGGGCAATTGTTTTCTTTTGGAAAATCCAGAACGCTGTGGATATAAACTGGCAATACATTTGATTTAATAACAAAAAAATCACCAAACCTAAGTGGCCAGTGCTGTGGGATTGAGCATTCTATCTCCCTAAATCCTAAAATACAGTGAATAGTACTGGTAATGTTACCTACTTTGGGTAATGAAATGTCTAAAAGAAAACCATCAAATCCAGAAAGCACCAATGTACCCCTAAAATACAATTTAGTTTTTATTATTTCACTTGCTCAATAGCACAGCAACTAATCTGCCTTTATATCAAAAATCTTACTTTGGTTTTAGACTAATTTAGAGTGAATCAATTTCTTCATAATTCACTGTGAAAGAGCCCAATGCTCTTAGTCCCACTATCTAAAAAAATACCATGACAATATTATTTACATAAAAGATGCCAGATAGGAAATGGTTTTAGGGGTTTCTAACCACCTGCATGACAGAATTTATATAAAAATTGAAGAGGAAAGGAGCTAATATACAGTCCACATTCACTTCCTAAGTTTGAGGGATGTTTTGCATTATAATGCACCTTGCAGAAATTATTCTTACACAGTGTCATATACAAAAAAGGGCTCCAATTTATCATTGAAATCTCCAGCTTTTCCAAACTGTTACACAAGACAGAATCAAAGAGATGGCATAAAGGGCCTCATGAGACTTGGCATTGTATTTTTCTGCCAACAGACTATTATGTTAATCCTTTTATGTCACAAAGCTCCCTCTGTATAGTTATACAAACTAAAGTTCTTAGTATGAAAACTATGTTTTATGGCAATGATGACTATTCATAAATGGCTAATTAGCAATAACTCCATCCCTGAATTCCACCTAAATCTCACTGAAATTAAGTTTAGATTTTGATAAAATGCATAGATATTTAAATTATAGCTAACTTTTCACATCAACTTAGGCAAATAATGCTACTTTTTAAAAGATGTTTAGCTTTTTTAATGAAAACACTGAAAGCAGATCATCTGAACAAAAGTCAATAACCCAACAACTTCCATGAAAACTAGGATTATTTTTTAAAAGTACTGAATAGTGAGCACTAAGGTTATCTTCTTCTTAGCATTTTTAGGTAGCCCTCAACTTATGAAAATTGGCATTGGAATTTTGATTGTTAAGCAAATTATGTGACTGGACTCAATTCTGTGAGTAGTTTTATCCAGTTGTTAAGATGAATCACACAGTCGTTTAGTGAATATGGCTTTCACAATTGACTTTACTAGAAGCAAGCTAGGAAGATGCAGATCATGAACACATAACTGCAGAGTCTGCAACTGCTATAAATGTGAGGTAATTGCCAACTGTCCAAACTGCAATCACGTGACTCTGAGTGTGGTACAATGGTTGTAACTCTGAACATGGTTTATAAATCATTTTTTCTGATACTGTTATAACTTTGAACTGTCATTAAATGGTGATAAATTGAGAACTTCCTGCAGCATAATATTATGTTCAACTTACTTTTTTAAAAGTACTATGTTTTCTGTAATTTTCCATATCACTTCATGCTTTCTAGAAGTTTAATCCAGTGAAATTGAAGTAGTGTTCAGAAAAAAGTTGAGATTAAATGAAGCGTTCCTCATATGATACAAGCAATTTTTCAACAATGTTTTTTCATATCAGATATTAATTGCTTATACATAAATTCATATCAGAAAATAATAATAAAATTACTGTAATTTTCTCCTTTCCAAAAGCCAACAGGACTATGGCACTAAGTATTTGCAACATAGGATATTTGTTTGCGATCAGCCTCATAAACGAGGGGAAGTTGTCTCTGGGATCTGGCAAATGGCCCATGCTGGATCCATCTTGAAAACCAAGCACGATTTTGGCATGGACTATTTGCAGCATGGGGCATTTAAAACCAGCTGCCAGTGACAACAAACCTCTCTCTTGTTCTGAGAGCTGGCTGCAAATTTCCCCATGCTGCAAATGTTCAAAATGTTGCATGAATGTTTTTCAGTTATCCTGCAGAAACCAGAGGAAATCCTCTTTGCAGGTAGCAGTGTCTTGCAACCTTTCCTGCTGGCTTTCCCACAAACTGTCTGGAGAAGCCAGCAGGGAAGATAACAAATGCCAATCACATGATCATGAGATGCCTGGTAACCAGGCATGAACAGATTACCAAGAAACCAGACTGCAATCACATGACTGTGGGGGTCTGCAGTGACCATAACTTCGAGTATGCGTCATAAGTCCATTCAGCAACAATGTAATTTCTAGTCTCTGAACTTGATTAAGTTCATTATGTTTATTAAGCAAAGACAACCTGTAACAATATTGTTTTGTGAAATACCTATGTAGTTTTTGTAAATAACATGTGTTTGAGGATACTCACATGTAATTGCTATAAACACATTTAATCTTATTTTATAAAATATTGGGAGATTTTTACAGACTTCTTTGAAAACTACTGAAAATAATTCTTACCGAGAAGAAAACTGAATTAGTGCATTTTGGAGAGTCTGCCTGATTTCAAGAAGAAAAGATTCATCATCACTTAGTGTATAATACCAATACTGAACATAGTCACGCAAGGAAAATTGAATGATCTGAAATATAAATACATTTTTTTAAAAAAATCAAACATTAAAACATTAATAAATCAATTACATTAAATAAATATTTAGCAAATCAATTTCATAAAGTAAATAAAAAATATAATGGACTAGTTATGTTTGCATTTATTTTATAAAATGTATAAAAATCTGTGAAACTTTGAACAGCTAACACTGATCACTATCTCAAGTACTCATAACAATATTAATTATGGAATACCACAATTGAGCCTAAAATTTCCCTTGCTAGGAAATTCTGTTTTCAATTGTCCTCTTTTGCCTTTTATGACTATTTTCAAGGGATTTCATATAGAAATGTATTCTAGTAATAAAAATGAATGCACCCCCAGTCAACCCCAGTGTATTTTGAACTTTAGATTTTGCCTTTCATTTTCCAAACCCTTACAGCTCCATATTTTCTGCTTTTTTCATATTCTAGAAATTTCAGAAGTTGAGAAGGAACCAAAAAGTATATGAAAAATTTTAGAAATATCAATACATTAATATTAACAAAGAACACCATTCAGTATGCTACGTGGTATGCATACTATCACCGTGTTTCTAAAATTTACCAGGGGACTATTTTCTTTCTTTGAATTCTAATAATCCTAGAATTAAGTGATCATGTAAGAGGTTAATATAATTTGGACAGGGACAATTTGTGAACCTACTAAAATATTGCTTACTGTCTTCCCTCAATGTAGCTGTCTTATTATTTGTTTTTAGTGTTTCTATTCTGATATTTTAACCTAGTTGTTATAATATAGGATACTCACAGCAACTTGGCAAGTGGGAGAAAATGAATATACAGTATGAGCTACTGTTTATGCATATCTACAAATACATGAGCATTTATGCAGAAAACAATAGCCAATTATTTTACTAATATTTTGGGGGGGTTTATATAGAATAACTTTATATAAAACAGCTGTAATAGATTATTCATATGTTTGTAGCCTTAAAACCACTCTTTCTAACCTTGTTTGTTAGAATCAATACAAGTTCCACATATTTTTTCCATATACCAGTGGTGGCGAACCTATGGCACAGGTGCCAGAGGCGGTACTCGGAGCCCTCTCTGTGGGCACACATGCCGTTGCCCCAGCCTTGCCTCCCCCCCGTGCCCCTCTCCTCTCCAGCAGCCCCCCTAAAAGAGAATCGCCCTCGAGCATTGCCTACATGGAGCAGCGCAGCCAAGGACATGGCAGCCAGGCAGTGTAGACAAGACTCTGCCCTCATACTCCATCATGCAGTTGATGCTGCAGGGCGCGGGCAGAGGGTGTGGCCTCCATAGCGCTGCTGGGCTGCCTGGGCGATCTGCGGTGGGCCCTGGAGGCGGGGAGTGGTCCTGTGGGCAGGCAGGGTGGGGGATGGGGGGCAGGGCAGGGGCAGGGCAGGGGTGAAGTGGGGGTGGGGCCAGTTTTGGGGCACTTGGTCTCTAAAAGGTTTGCCATCACTGACCTAGAACTAAGGAGAAACTTCCTGACAGTTAGAACAGTTAACCAGTCGAACAACCTGCCTCCAGAAGCGGTGAATGTTCCAACACTGGTAGTTTTTAAGAAGAAACTGGACAGCCATTTGTCCGAAATGGTATAGGGCAGTGGTGGCGAACCTATGGTACGGGTGCCAGGAGCAGCACTCAGAGCCCTCTCTGTGGGCATGCGCCATCGCCCCAGTCCTCGGCCTTCAGCTGGGTTTTATAAAACCTTTTCACTTTAGGCTTCTGCCGCCGTGTGCAAAAAAAAAAAAAGGTTCAATCAGTCAATTTCAACTTTTCGCGAGGAAAAAAAAATCTTGCAAAGTTGGAATTGATTGATTGAACTTTTTAGTGCCACCCAGTCTGCCATTACCACTGCAGCCATGCCCATCCAATAGGCCACGCCCACCCGGCACTCGATGATGGATAAGTGGGTTTCGGGTTGCAGTTTGGGCACTCAGTCTCTAAAAGGTTCGCTATCACTGCCATATGCCATTCCTGGTGCTCTACACTAATTTCCATTAAATTATGATGTTCCATTCTTTATTACCACAGAATGCATGGTCTGAAATTTCCATTCCTGAATTGTAGCAATCCATCAGTGATAATTTTGTATTTATTTTAGTTTTAATATTAATTTACTCTAATCATAGTTTCTGAGCTCAGATAAGAGGTACCGTATATGCCGGCGTATAAGACGACTTCTACAAGTGCTAAAATTGGCACCAAAGACGGGGGTCGTCTTATACGCCGAATCGTCTTATACGCTGGAAATACTGGTAGTTTCCAGCGTATAAGATGACGTTCTAGGAATGCGGCTCGGCGACAAAGACGGGGGTTGTCTTATACGCCGGGTCGCCTTGTGCGCTGGCACATACGGTAAATGTTTCTGCTCCATTAGACAGGGAGAAGTGGTAGAATAAGCACACTACCTAACATTGACATCTCATGTAGGCAAATCATAGTAACATCTTAGCCTACAGTTACGATCTATTCAGATTAGCAGCACAGATAATATAGTATACCTGCACTATCCAAAACCAAAGCTGAGTTTAACTTCATCTAGCTATTTAAACTTCTAGCATACATTTCATCATACTCAAGAAATTGTGCTCAAAATGCATACATGTTTTGCAAACAATTCTGCCATTAGTTCAAAAACAATTTATAAAATCAATTAATTTTCTGAAACAAATCCAAAAAAGTAAGCAATCATTGTGCAACACTTTCATTTCAGAACTTTGAAGAATAAGCTGAGGAGAGGGGAGAAAACTGGCACTAGTAATAATATAAGGAGAGGATCAAAGAGTATGTATATATGTATGTATGAGTGTACATATATATGTGTGTGTATATGTGTATGTGTGTGTATGTATATGTATATATTACAATTTTGCTATCTATCTTTGCTAAATGTATTAACCAAGGTTGGGGTCAAACTTATAGGACAAAGATTATATCTTCTTTTTCCCCTCAGATCAGAGAGTCTGAAAAAAAAAAAAGCTAAAACTGATTCATAGCCTAATCTCAGTAGAAAACAAGTATTATTATAATACAGGTAGCCCTCGTTTAGCAATCAAATTGGGACCAGCAGTTTGATTGTTAAATGAAACTGTCACTAAGCAGAAAATCACACAATTCCAACTATTTTACAATATTTAGAATATTATTTCAGCTTTTCTTTTTTTTCCCACTCTCCCAGTTGTCCTAGCGCTCAACTTGGGTTAGCACACAGGTTGGCAACCTGCGGCTCTGGAGCCGCATGAGGCTCTTTGAGCCTTCTGCTGCAGCTCCCAACCTCCTCTGCCATTTGCAGACAGAGAGAGGCACTTGCACTTTCTCTCTCTCTCTCTCTCTCTCTCTCTCTCTCTCTCTCTCTCTCTCTCTGTGTGTGTGTGTGTGTAAAAAAGAGAGTGGCCTCACTCTGTTCAACGAGCTGAAAAGCTTACTGGGCAGGGCTCCTCCCTTTGCTGCGTCTCTGCAGGAAGCAGGAAGGGGAGGAGAGAGCCAGCCTGTTGCACAACAGCTTGAAGCCAGCTTGCCAGGTGAGCAGAAGATCGGAGAGAGGGAGTGAGGGGGGGAGAGAAAGAGAGAGAGAAAGGGAGAGAAAGAGAGAGAGGGAGAGAAAAAGAGAAAGAAAGGGAAAGAGAGGGGCAGGGGGAGAGGAAAGAGACAGAGGGAGAGGAAAGAGAGAGGAGAGAGAGAAAGAGGGGAAGAGGAAAGAGAGAGAGGGAGAGGAAAGAGAGAGGGAAAGAGAGAGGGGGAGAGAAAAGAGAAAGGGAAAGGAAAGAGAGAGAAAAAGAGAGAGAGGAAAGAGAGAGGGAGAGGAGAGAGAGAGAGGAAGGGAGGGAGGGAGAGGAAAGAGAGAGGGGGGAAGTGCAAGTGCCCCCCTCTCTCTCACACACAAACACACACTGAGTGGGGGAAGAGGACTGGCAGACCAAGGGCAGAAAGACAGAGAGAGGGGAAGAGAGGGAGAGAGACCCTTTTGACATCTAAAATGAAGATAACACTGAATATATCCTTTTTTACCTTTATGGTATACACACACACACACACACACACACATACACACACACATACACCCATACCTATACCTATATATATATATACCTATATACATATACATTGGACCATAAGAAAGGCTGAGCGCCAAAGAATTGAGGCCTTTGAACTCTGGTGCTGGAGAAGACTCCTGCGAGTCCCTTGGACTGCAAGGCGTTCAAATCGGTCAGTCCTAGAAGAGATCAACCCCGACTGCTCTTTAGAAGGCCAGATCCTGAAGTTGAAACTCAAATACTTTGGCCACCTAATGAGAAGGAAGGACTCACTGGAGAAGGATCTAATGCTGGGAAAGATTGAGGGCAATAGAAGAAAGGGACAACAGAGAATGAGGTGGCTGGATGGGGTCACTGAAGCAGTAGGCATGAACTTAAATGGACTCCAGAAGATGGTAGAGGACAGGAAGACCTGGAGGAACGTTGTCCATGGGGTCGCGATGGGTTGGACACGACTTCGCAATTAACAATAAAATACATATACATATATAAATATGTGTGTGTGTGTGTGTATTCACATTTTGCAGCTATCAAGGACACACACACACACACACATATATATAGGTCTTTGGTTGTCTCTGTTCTCTCAGAGAGGTAAGGAGGCTGCTCCACCTACTTTAGAGCTCAAAGAAAAGAAGGCAAATGAGGACACACGCGAAAAAAGGGGTGCAGGGAGAAACGAGTCAACGGAGCACAATCCAACCAATTAGATCCGATGACGAGATCGAGGAGCCGGGCGCAGACTTTGGCTTGCTTATAAGAGACTCTCTCACTCCCTGGCATTTTAAGCCCTGAGGATGCCAGCAAGTGACGGCGAAAGCTTGGCGTTTGTAAATTAAATTAAACTTTTATAGTTTTATCATCCTGATGCTCACCCTAACCATTCAGAACACACCTCCACCCAATCAGAACACAGCCAAGCTCCCACCCAATCAGTTCATACCCCCACTGGCAGTTAAAAGGAAGAAACAGCTAAGACCACACATTGCTGCTCAAAGCACGAAGCTGAAAACACCAGCCTGAAGATGACGAATGGGACTTCGTCGAAACGTCGCCAAGACACTTCCAATTTTACGTGGGAGAAAACCCGAATAAACAAAGACCTACACACACACACACACACACACACATATATATACACACATACATATACATATACACACACACACATCTATATATATCTACCTATATATATATATCTACCTACACATAGTCAGGTCCAGAAATACTGGGACATCGACACAATTCGAACATCTTTGGCTCTATACACCACCACAATGGAGTTGGCATGAAACAAACACAATGTGCTTTAACTGCAGACTGTCAGCTTTAATTTGAGGGTATGTACATCCAACTCAGGTGAACGGGGTAGGACTTATAGCAGTTTGCATATATGTTAAGGGACCAAAGGTAATGGGACAATTGGCTTCTCAGCTGTTCCATGGCCAGGTGTGTGATATTCCCTCATTACCCCAATTACAATGTGCAGATAAAAGGCCCAGAGTTCATTTCAAGTGTGCTATTTGCATTTGGAATCTGTTGCTGTCAACTCTCAAGATGAGATCCAAAGAGCTGTCACTATCAGTGAAGAAAGCCATCATTAGGCTGAAGAAACAAAACAAGCCCATCAGAGAGATAGCAAGAACATTAGACGTGGTCAAAACAACTGTTTGGAACATTCTCAAAAAGAAGGAATGCACCGGTGAGCTCAGCAACACCAAAAGACCCGGGAGACCACGGAAAACAACTATGGTGGAGGACTGAAGAATTCTTTCCCTGGTGAAGAAAACACCCTTCACAACAGTTGGCCAGATCAAGAACACTCTCCAGGAGGTAGGTGTATGTGTGTCAAAGTCAACAATCAAGAGAAAACTTCACCAGAGTGAATACAGAGGGTTCACCACAAGATGTAAACCATTGGTGAGCCTCAAAAACAGGAAGGCCAGATTAGAGTTTGCCAAACAACATCTAACAAAACCTTCACAGTTCTGGAACAAGATCCTATGGACAGATGAGACCAAGATCAACTTGTACCAGAGTGATGGGAAGAGTATGGAGAAGGAAAGGAACTGCTTATGATCCTAAGCATACCACCTCATCAGTGAAGCATGGTGGTGGTAGTGTCATGGTGTGGGCATGTATGGCTGCCAATGGAACTGGTTCTCTTGTATTTATTGATGATGTGACTGCTGACAAAAGCAGCAGGATGAATTCTGAAGTGTTTCGGGCAATATTATCTGCTCACATTCAGCCAAATGCTACAGAACTCATCGGACGGCGCTTCACAGTGCAGATGGACAATGACCCAAAGCATACTGCAAAAGCAACCAAAGCCTTTATGAAGGGACAGAAGTGGAATGTTATGCAATGGCCAAGTCAATCACCTGACCTGAATCCCATTGAGCATGCATTTCACTTGCTGAAGACAAAACTGAAGGGAAAATGCCCCAAGAACAAGTAGGAACTGAAGACAGTTGCAGTAGAGGCCTGGTAGAGCATCACCAGGGATGAAACCCAGCGTCTGGTGATATCTATGCATTGCAGACTTCAGGCTGTGATTGACTGCAAAGGATTTGCAACCAAGTATTAAGAAGGGAAAGTTTGATTTATGATTATTATTCTGTCCCATTACCTTTGGTCCCTTAACAAGTGGGAGGCACATATGCAAACTGCTGTAAGTCCTACCCCATTCACCTGAGTTGGATGTACATACCTTCAAATTAAAGCTGACAGTCTGCAGTTAAAGCACATTGTGTTTGTTTCATTCCAACTCCATTGTGGTGGTGCATAGAGCCAAAGATGTTCGAATTGTGTCGATGTCCCAATATTTCTGGACCTGACTGTATGTACATACATACATACATACATACATACATTAATAATAAAGTTGGAAGAGACATACATACACACATATATACATACATACATTAATAATAAAGTTGGAAGAGACCTTGGAGGTCATCTAGTCCAACCCCCTGCTCAGGCAGGAAACCCTATACCATTTCGGACAAATGACTATCCAGTCTTTTCTTCAAAACTTCCAGTGTTTGAGCATTCACCGCTTCTGGAAGCAGGTTGTTTCACTGGTTAATTGTTCTATTAGGAAATTTCTCCTAGTTCTAGGTTGCTTCTCTCCTTGATTAGTTTCCATCCGTTGCTTTTTGTCCTGCCTTCAGGCGCTTTGGAAAATAGCTTGACTCCCTCTTTTTTATGGCAGCCCCTGATATATTGGAACACTGCTATCATGTCCCCCTTCGTCCTTCTCTTCATTAAACTAGATATACCCAATTCCAGCAACTGTTCCTTAAACGCTTTAGCCTCCAGTCCCCTAATCATCTTTGTTGCTCTTCTTTGTACTCTTTCTAGAGTCTCAACATCTTTTTTACATCCCAGTGACCAAACTGGATGCAGTATTCCAAGTGTTGCCTTACTAAGGCATTGTAAATTGGTATTACAGCTGCAGCACACACACACACACACACACACATATACATACACACACACACACCTATAATAAAGGTAAAAAAGGATATATGCAGTGTTATCTTCATTTTAGATATCAAAAGGGTTTTGCGGCTCCCAGTGTTTTCTTTTTGGTGGGAAATGGGTCCAAGCGGCTCTCTGAATGTTTTGGGTTGCTTACCCCTGGGTTAGCATAATGAACAAGAAGAGAATTAATGCTTGTATTTATATTCACTGGGCAGGAAGGGAGTACAAGACAGTAAGCAGGCATACAATGGAGAACACACACTGAAAGAAATCTGTTAGTGCTGACTGCATAGTATGCTCTTGGCCTCAAGCAGCTTAGGAACTGAAAATATATTAAAAGTATATCTTGTCAATTACAAGCAGCAACTGGGAGTTGGTTAAAGTCACAAAGCTGAGAAACTACAGGAAGAAAGAGAGTTCAACAATAGCTTGCTTGTTTAAGCAATTTCTCAACTGTGCCAAGGGGGGGGGAGGGCACAGGACAAGACATGCTAACTGATTGTTTTGATGAACACAGGAACAGAGAGAGAGAGAGGAAGAGGGAGGGAGGGAGGGAGGGAAGAGAGAGGGAAAGGAAAGAGAGAGAAAAAGAGAGAGAGAGGAGAGAGAGATGGAGATGGATGTTGCCAAGGTCATAAATATGGGCATTGGTTGCAGTTATTTTTTATTAGTGTTGTAACTTCAAATGATTACTATTTGAAGTTGTAGTAAAGTGAAGTCTATTAGTATCACCATCCTAGCTCGGCAACAGAGAGGGAAATGCTGACAAGAGACATATATTCAAGACGTTCATTAATCGAAGACTTTTGGGTAAAGTCACAAACATTCAGGAGAGGGTATACTTTATATTATGTTGTGAATTTTCCTTTCTAGATTTGAAAAGGAACAGATAATTCATACTGCACATGGCATTCATGTTACTTGTAACATAAATTATATATTATACCATTTAAATACCTAGATTATTCTCCTATCAAAATCTTTACATTTAATAATTGAACTCACAGAATATTATATTAATAAACTTTTTAAAAATCAATGTTTTTCAACTCACTTGCTGCAGAGGTTCATCAATTATATAGGCACCGGTTAACCTCCTATCAATCTTAATAGGTTTGCTTTCCTCTTTCATTTCTTCTATGCACTTTGGGAAAGAATATACAAAGTTAATTTTCAGTTTAGCTTGCAATTTTAGTTCACATAAAATACAAATCTGAACAAAGTCTATGCTTTACAATATAACCGCAAATGCAATTTAATAGAGGTGGGATATAAGCAAATAAATAAATTTTTCTTCTCCACTTATTTTACCAGTGGTCTTTCCAGATTTTAATCAAAGCAGGATATAAATAAACAAACACCCACCTGCACTGTTATTACTTCCTCATAAATACTGTCATTAAATTGTTATAAAAAGAATAACATATTGGACTAGGACCAAGTAAGCCTAAATTCAAGTCACTTCATGACCTTGATATTTAAATCAACCTTATTTATATGAATGGCATGAGAAACCCTCCCACATACACCCATATATGCCCAGTCGTCTTATACGCTGGAAAATATGGTACATCAAAGCAAGCTCCCCCGTATCCTGCGCCCCATGCTCCTCACCCTTTGGTGTGGGGATTGGCTGTCCGGATGAGAGTTTAAGTGTCCCACGCAGCCAAATAGCCCTAGAAAAGTGTCCCTCCGAGAAACAGCCGGGAGGTAGGGGAGAGGTTGGGGCGTTGGCGGACCAATGGCGGGAGAGGAGCGCTGGTGGAGAGCCAGCTGAGTAAGAATGCCTGTGTTGGGTCAGCGGCGGGGGCTTCCCGAGAAGAAATGCCCCCACCTCCCTTGTTGCCAAAGTGCTGCTCAGTGCTCTCAGAAGGCCAGCGATTTTGCAGAAGCATCCGCCCCTCGGGCAGGGATCCTGCCCCTCCCAGTCTAGGGCGGTGGAGGGAGGTGGTGTGAGCAAGGCTTTTCCTCCCCCAGGGAAACCCCCCTGCCACCAGCCTCTGCTCGGGTGAGCGGCAGGAGCAGCTGATGGGAGCCGGCGGGCTGTGCAGAGGGTGCCGCTTCCTCGGGGTTGACCGCACCCGATGCTGTCGCTCTAAGTGCCAGAAGCCCTAGGACCCCGATAGACAGACGCTCAGCCTGTCCTCCATGCTCGGCCACTTCTTTGGCAACCTGAAATCTTCTCCTGGAGCCCAGCAGCAGAAATTCTTTGGCCAGTGGGATCCAAATTAGGCTGCTTCCACTGGAATGAAAGGGGCCAGCTAGTCCCATTGGGATGAGGCAGTTCCTCATATACTGCAAAGCTTCATAAGTGCACCCCCATGCTTATTATGGGATGTTACCCAGCTACATTTGTCTTCAGCAAGTCAGGAACAAACAATGAAATATAATGAAATGCTAATGTGTTTAGGACTTACATTACTTTTATTAGAAAGTTAAAGTGCCCGTATTTTCCAGTGTATAAGACGACTTGCTAAACCATGAAAATCTTCTCAAAAGTTGGGGGTCGTCTTATACGCCCAGTCGCCTTATACACCAGAAAATACGGTATGTACAAGACTGGTAGAATTATCTAATATAGCCGAAATGTTTGGACAGTCTTGAAAGGCTTGGAATGCCTTCCAAACAATAAAATGCTCAGGTTTATGAAACTACATAACTGGATTTGCCACTTGTGATCAGAATGGCTCAAAGATATGCTCTCCATCTTGTCATATATGTGATAGGGGTAAGAACATGCACTAGAGAGTGAGGTGCAAAGAGAACTTCTCTGGCAAGATTTTTTTTAGATCATTCATCAGAATTCCTTGATGCAGGCAGAATCAGGATCTTAAGAGAAATAGAACAGAACCCAGAAAAGTGCCCCATGCCTATAATGAGCAAAACAAGAGGTCAAATGGACAATTGGCGTAAAATGCATAAAAGATGTATGACTCGGAAGTCTTAATGTTTATCAGTGATCTCATATTAATGCACAAAGCACATATAGCTACGTATGCTAAAAAGATACTTTCGCTGGTGGTTCTATTGTTGCCCTGGGTAAGAAAGAAAGATTACACATAAAGGGCTCAGAAGCAAGGTTCTATAAGAGCAGAAGTTCAGCTGTGCAATGAAATAATAGTAATTAGCACTGTTGAAATTACAGCATTGATACTGTGGAAAAGAAATTTTTAGATAGGGTTACAACTGGCAATTTTAAAAAAAGCTGTTAAAAGACCATTTGAACTCAAATGTTAACTGCACTTCAATTACAAATGCTGAAAATACATTAATAGCCTATTTTAAAACTTCTGCCTTTACCTGATACAGGTAGTCCTTACATTCATTTTGTGACCTTTCAAAGTTACAAGATGGGGCGTTGTCTTACCTGAATGCCTTTTCTCAGCACGGAGATGGAGAATCCACCAATGGGTTTGCTCTGTCTTCCTGCCCATTAGATCAAGTCAAACTTGCCATGCCCGTCCTAGACTAGGACACACCCAATCTTGACGAGGGCGAAAGCCACTGACTATAGTCTGATGTGTTGGCTCCCAGACCCCTAACACTGGACCTGACAGGCCTAAAAGGGGCGGGAGTGGATTCTCCATCTACGTGCTGAGAAAAGGCGTTCAGGTAAGACAACGCCCCTTCTCCAGCATAGGAGATGGAGAATCCACCAATGGGACATACCAAAGCCTCACTGTCGCTGTGGGATAGAAGCAGTCAGGTCTGGCGTCTTGTCCCTAGATACCACCTGCTGGAGGACCCTCCGACCAAAGGAGGCATCCGCAGAGGCAAACCTGTCGTTTGTAATGCCTCATGAAAGGTAAAGACAAAGACATCTGTCCTACAGATGTCCTCAATGGATGCCTGAGTGGGTGAGGCCACGGAGGTAGCCGCGCTGCGTGTTAAGTGCGCCATGACACGACCTGGAAGCGGGAGGGAATTCAACTGGTATGCCCCCGCAATGCAAGCTCTGATCCATCTGCCTATCATAGAGGCAGACACCTTCCTTCCCATAGAGGAATGGTGAAAGGAAACAAAGAGGGCTTCAGACTTGCGGAAGGCCGCCGTCCGCTTGATATAGCAGCGGAGAGCCCTGCAGACATCCAGAGAATGTCATTGCAGTTCCAGGTCATGAGACGGATTAGAGCGGAAATCCGGAAGTATGATTACCTGAGCCCTATGAAACCAAGAGTTGACCTTGGGAATGAAAGTAGGGTCCAAGCAGAGGACCACCCGGTCCTGGTGAAAAATGCATAGGTCATCCCTGATTGAAAGTGCCGCCAATTCAGAAATCTGCCTGGCAGATGTAATTACCACCAGGAAGGCGACCTTGAGGGACAGGGACCAAATGTCACAGGTTCCGAGAAGCTCAAAGGGTGACCTGGTGAGGGCCTGTAGGATCCGCGGCAAGTCCCATGAGGGATACCTATGGACCACAGGGGACTTGGTGTTGGTAAGAAGAAGCGTATCAAAGGATACAGTAAAATGGGATGAATTGTTTAATTACTATGGAGGAAATTGGTTTAGCTATCAAGCAGTTAAAGGTGGGAAAGTCTCCAGGAACAGATGGATTGACATCGACGTATTATAAAAATTTATATGAAGAAATGTTGGAGTCATTAAAGGAGCTTTTTAATAGTATCTTGCTGGGAGCACAAGTTCCTCCTTCTTGGAAAAGAGTGTTTATATCATTGATTCCGAAGGAGGATCAAGATCTTACAGAGCCTAAGAATTATAGGCCGATATCATTATTAAATGTAGATTACAAGATTTTTAGAAAAATTTTGGCAAATAGATTAATGCAGGTTATGAAGGATTTGATTCAGAGTGATCAATCAGGATTCATAACAGGGCGATACATGAAATATAATGTTAGACAAATTATTAACTTAATTGAGTATTTGGATAAGAACAATCAGATTCCTGTTGCTTTTATATTTTTGGATGCTGAAAAAGCCTTTAATCAATTAGATTGGCAGTTCTTATTCTCACTGGTAGAGAAAATGAATTTTGGGATAATTTTTTACATGCACTTAAAGCTATATATCAGCAACAATCTGCTCAAATTGTTGTTAATGGGGGATTGACTGAGACTTTTAATATTGAAAAAGGGACAAGATAAGGATGTCCATTATCTCCATTGTTATTTGTTTTGACATTGGAGATTTTGTTGATCCAGATTCGAGAATCAACGGTAATCAAGGGTATAAAGATAAGAAAAAATGAGTATAAATTACGGGCTTTTGCGGATGATTTGGTTTTGATTTTGGAACAACCGATTAGAGTGGTTGATTGTCTATTAGAATTTATAACACAGTATGGAAAAGTTTCTGGTTTTAAAGTCAATAACCATAAGACTAAGATATTATCTAAGAATATGTTAGCCAATGACAAGGAAAGTTTGGTTAAAGCCACAGGTTTTCAGATGGTGAAAAAGGTTAAATATCTGGGAGTATATTTAACTGCCTCAAATGGAAAATTGTATAAAAATAATTATGAATTACTATAGGCAAAAGTGCAAAAGGATTTAAATGACTGGAAAAAACTGCAATTGTCATTGTTGGGGAGAATTTCAGCTGTAAAAATTAATGTTCTACCAAAGTTTCTTTTCTTGTTTCAGATGATACCTATTTTAGAAAAAGATGTAAATTTGGAGGAATGGCAGAAGGGTATCAATAAATTCATTTGGGCTGGGAAAAAACCAAGGGTTAAGTTTAAGATTTTGCAAGATGCCCAAGAAAGAGGAGGACTTAAAGCATCTAACTTGAAATTATACTATGATGCAGCCACCTTAACTTGGATAAGTGATTGGTTTAATTTAACAAATAAGGATATTCTTGTTCTTGAAGGATGGGATTTAATATATGGTTGGCATGCATATTTAATTTTTAATAAGAAAGTGGACCGGGCTTTCAAATCACATATTTTGAGGAGTGCTTTACTTCGAGTTTGGAAAAAGTATTATTATAGGTTAAACTATAAAATACCTATCTGGGGGATTCCTAGACATGCAATTGAGGGGATTTCTAAGAGGATGAATTTTGATAAAATTTCGTACAAAGAATTATTAACTTGGTCAGGTTCGGATTGGCATTTAAAATCTCTAGATGTATTAAGGCAAGAAAACATTCTACAGTCATGGTTTCAATATTTACAAATAGTGGACAGATGGACAGTAGATAAAAAAGAAGGAATAACACTAGAAGATGGAAATCTGGTTATTCAGATTAAAGATCAGAGTCAGGCCCATATAAAAAGAATTTACAATGCTTTAATAGAATTAGACTCTGAAACAGACTGTATGATTAAATGGGCTCAGAATATCCAGGATCCGATCCCACTGGACTTATGGGAGACAAATTGGATTAGAAATGTTAGATTTACACAAGCTCAAAATTTGAGGGAAAATTTTTATAAAATGTTTTACAGATGGCATTTAGATCCTAAAAAATTATCTTGTATGTATCCAAATTTACAACCCAAATGTTGGAGATGTGGTAATATGCGACATATTTTCATGTTTGGTAATATGCGACATATTTTCATGTTTGGTGGAATTGCAAAAAGGTAAAGGCTTTTTGGATTATGATTTGGTGGAACATTCAAAAGATTTTTAAAAGGAAGATAACGTTCACCCCTCAATTATTCCTATTGGGTATCTTTGTGGATTTAAATGACAAAGAAACTACTTTAATGTTGAATTTATTAACTGCAGCAAGGTTACTAGTAGGCTCATATTGGAAGAAGGACTCGTTGCCTACTTTAGAAGAATGGATATTTAAAGTTTCTAACTTTGCAGAAATGGCAAAAATTTCTACTTATTTGAAGGATCATACACAAGAAAGATATATTATTGTAAGGAGAAGATGGGACTATAAAGTTTCATTTATTTTATGAGTAAATTTTATAGTAACTGTTGTAGAGATTTGTTTATATAACTTAATTTAAGGGGAGTTAAAGGTTAAGTATGATGTTTTTTCTTCTCTTTTTTTTCTTTTTTCTTTTCTTTTCTTATTATTGTTAACTTTCTTAATAATAACCCTGTACTCTGCTTTGGGAAGCGAGGGGGGGAAGGTTGAGGGTGGGTGGGTGAGTGGGTGGGTAATGATAATATAGTCATGGTAAACGCTTGGGCATTTCCCCTATGCTGCGTTCATGTGTGTGAGAGGGATGAGAATGGAGGAAGGAGTAGGGAGGAAGTAGGATGGTTAGAGGAGAAGGGGAGGGGAAGAGAGTAGGAGGGGAGGAGAGAAAGAGGAGGGATGTGGGGAAGGTTAGAGAGGGTGGACGCAGCCTGGGGGGAATGGGCAGGCGGTACCAATGGTTAGGAATTTAATTGTATTTTGTATGAATAAATAGAAAATAAAAACTTTTTCATAAAAAAAAGGATGTTGATCTAACGGCACCAAGTTGTCACAGGTAAGTATGATGGAGAGAGCTGCCACCTGTCTGCGTATGGTATTAGGCGCAAAGCCCCTGTCAAGACCCCCCAGCAAGTCAAATCCGAGATAGTCAAATGGTGTTTTTCGCACCAATGACAGAAATTCTTCCATGTGGAATTGTAGATACGGTTTGTTGCAGGCCTCCAGGAGGCCTGAATCATAGAGATGACACCTGGCGAACAGGATTCCTCAGTCAGGATCCAGCGCTCAAGTGCCAGGTGGTCAACTGAAGCCACTGGGGGTCTGGATGATGCAGGACCCCCTGGCTGAGAGAAATACGGCCTGGAGGAATCCTCCACGGAGGAGACCTGGAAAGGTTCACGAGGTCGGCAAACCTGTCTGTAAGGACCAGCACGTGTTGCCTCGCAACTTTGTTGTGGAAGTGGCGGAGAGCCAGATGTATGGCTCTGAGCTCCAACCAATTGATGTTGTGCCTCAGGTCTGACTGCGACCACCGCCCTTGAGCCAACTGCGACCGAAGGTACGCTCCCCAACTGAACAGACTGGCGTCTGTCGTAAGTGTGAGCCGAACGGGTTCCTTGAAGAAGGACCCTCTGGCTACCGCTAGTGATGACCACCACCTTTCTACCACTCCGTAAAAAATGCCCTGCTATAAGAGGATCGGGATGGTGAGGGAGGTCCGTGGTAGTTGGGAGCTCCCGCCTAGAGAGGGAAGAATGGAGGGATGGATGCCACTTACTCGGTCCTGGGCATGTGGTAGGACCTGGCTGCAAGGGCCCGGTCAATCGCCTGGGATTTCAAGGCTTGGAGGTGATCATAGGAAGGAATGGTTTCAGGCTCAGTTAATCTGAACCCAGCTGCTGTTGGAGTGAAAGTGGCCTCTGGGACTGAATGTGGGATACGCGGTGCCACTGATGGTTGGTAAATAGTGGGACCTTGCTTCTCCGCCAATTTTGAAGTCTTCTTTCCTGAAATGGTCTTGGCCTTGGCCTTGATCCTGCCTGACGCCTCCTGGTTGGAGGACCTGTGCCTTTTTCGGCTAGTGGATGGAGGGGTGGTCTCCTTAGGTTGGGGAGCTGTGGATTCCTCCATCCTGAAGTGAGTTATCCCAGGAAGTGCTGAAAGGGAACTCTGGCAGCGGATAAATTGGCGGATTGAGCGAATGCAATTGGAGCAGGGGAATACTAGAGTTCACCCTGTTCCCCTGGCCACTGGACCAGTAATTGACCCGAGGGTCCTGTCGTGTCTATGGCCCCATAAAATCAGGTGAGTTATGACAGCCTGCCTGCTCGTAGAGGGCGCCGTGTGACAAGGCCAGCGAGTTGATGAGTGTCAGCACGTTTGCATGGCAGGTGGATCTGCGGGAGCGGCAAGAGCAATCGCTTAATGACCGCGATCCAATATACAGCCCGCTAGATGGTGGCCAGGAGGGAAGCACCAGATGGAGACCTGTAATTGAGCCTGAAGAACTGTGCAGCCTTTAGAGCACACAGAGGTTAATTGAAGAGGGGAGACTGTGTTTCCTGGAGAAGCTAAGGACTGTAGAGGCCTATAGAGGCCTCCGTGCAGTAATGCATCTGCCAATCAAAATGGCGGCTGAGACCTTTTGCAATTCCCCTGAGATGGACTTGTGGGAGGGAGCAAGACCATGAGGGATTCTGTTGATGCTAGTGAAGCAAGCAATAAGGGAGGAACCCCCCCCCCCGCTGGCCTCTCCTCAAATTGTGACGGCGGCAGCCACGCGGCCCTCAAAATGGTGGCCGCAACGATAGAGACCGTTTCACAGCAAGGAGAACTGCGCGCCTTGAAGGAGAGGCTTTTCCACGGCTGACTGCCCAATAGGTGACGGCAGGGCGAGCAGAAGCGATCCGGGCCATGCACCCCTGAGGGAGAGCCGATTCAGTACAGCGGATCTTCATGCGGCTGCCAAAATGGTGGCCGTAACTGTCCGAGTGCCCGGGAAGGCCCCCGCAAGGCCTGAGATAGAAGGAGAAGAATCCCCTGCCCCTTGGAGAAATGGGTAAGAGGAGGGGGTGGCAGCTACAGCGCTGATCCCAGTGCTACCTGTGTGAAGGGAATGAGAAGGGTAGCCTCCGTTCTGCCTTAATGATCCAACGAAACGAAGAGAAATGGGTAAGCGGAAGAGCAGGGTGGCAGCTACAGTGCTGTCTGTGTGAAGGAAGGGAGAATGGAAGCCTCTGTTCTGCCTTAATACTGGAAAAGAAAAATGGGGAGTTCAAGTCTCCAACAGCCCAGCTGAGGTAGTGCTGATCCCAGCACTACTTAGGAGGCTGTGGAAGGAATGAAAAATTCACCAATTAAAATCTGATCTACCTGTCTACGCTGGGAGCCAAATTTGCCATGTCTGTCTGGGCTGAAGATCAAGTCAAGACTGGGTGTGTCCTAGTCCAGGACGGGCGTGGCAAGTTTGACCGACTTGATCTAATGGGCAGGAAGACAGAGCAAAATCACTGGTGGATTCTCCATCTCCTGTGCTGGAGAATGAAAAAATGACTTATGACTATTTTTCACTTATGACCATTGCAGCATCCCCATGGTCACATGATAAAAATATAGCCGCTTGACAACTGAGTCATATTTATAATGGTTGAGGTGTCCTGGGTCACGTGATCACCTTTTGGGAATTTCTGACAAGCAAATCCAATGGAGAAGCCAGATTCACTTAACAAGAGTGTTACTATCTTAAAAATTGCAGTGATTCACTTAACAACGGTGGCAAGAAAAATAATAAAATGGGACAAAATTCACTTAACAATTATCTCACGTAACAACAGAAAATTTGGGCTCAATTGTGATGTTAAGTTAAGGACTACCTATATTCACTTTAAAAGTTAAATACATTGATTGCCAATAACTGATGACATTTAATAGTTGATTAAAAACATTTTGCTTACCCATAAAAATTGTTAACTGAAGAAAAATGGTATATAGTAAAATTTAGACAAAACAAACCCAGCTTTTATTGCTTGTTGCTTACCTTATTAATGCCAAATGAGGTTGGAGGAAGAAAGGAGTCTTCACACTGTCCAAGGTACTTCTCTGAATTAGTTTTTCCAAATAAAAGTGTTACCACAAAGCCCCTCCAAAAATAAATTATATAACAAACTTTGAGATAATGTAGTGACTAACATTCACAATATAGAAGAACAACTACTCATATATGCATATTTCTAAGACTATTCCTACAATTATTCCATTAGGGTGTTAAATGCTCTGTTTAAACAACTACTATTATTAAAGCACAATTGGTAGAATTAAATTCCCCTTAATGCTTTTAATATTAGCTTAGTTCCTCCAGAGAGAATTCAAAATTATTATAATTTCATTACATTGTCCATAGTAACTTCTAAAATGGAAATAAAGACATAATTGAGTAATCATAACTATTCAGAAAACTAAAAATAGTTTCAATGAGAATATAAAAGTTGAAGGTAACAAATATTTATATATTTTAACTCTTTTAAGATGCTTGTGTTTCTTGTAAAATATTGTTAACCGGGCTGGGCAAAACCTCTGAAAAATTTCCAAATAAGCTTATTTTGGTAGATATAAATACATTGGACTTTGGGAAATATAAGTTACATATTTCCATTATATTTTCAACCTTGACCCCAAGTTTAAAGTTAGGCATACAGAGAGATGATAGCTTATGTAATATAATTACATGTAATATAATATAATTACACTTAATCTACAATGTATAATGTACATAACATATACTGATGAATATACAATAAATTATATAAAATACAATGTAGGAAAATGCTCATATCATATCACAGCCATAGACAAGTTGGCTTTTACACAGCTTTATCTGATGTTCCTTCCCTTCAGATAGACTTTCAAGTCTTAGTTATCTCATGGCTTGACTACTATAACATACTTTACATGGGACATGGGGCTGATCTTGAAGATCACTTTGAAGCTTCAGCTCATCCAGAAAGCAATATTGCAGGCAATGATGCCCCTGTAACTATCACAGCTTCACAAGATGCATTGGTTACCAGCTTGCTTCAGGTGCAATTCAAGATGTTGATCATTACCTATAATCTTGCACGATCCTATATTTTCATATTTATTCTTCATTTTTGTCCTTTATTGCATTTTTTGTTTTTAATGTTTTTATTTGTAATTTTCTAGAGTTATTGGGAGTTAGATGGCACATCAATTTAATTTAAGAGAATGATAAAGACAGTAATAGAGATAATGATAACAATAATAATTATAGAGTATCAATCTTAACTTTTAACATTTCTTCACCTTGATCAACAAATCAAATGATATACTTACCCACCCAAAGAGCAGAAGATATAAAATGCAAAGTAAAATATGGCAAATGGTCCAAATGTAATTAGAAAAAGCAGAACAACAAGGCTTCCCCATCCCCATTTGGAAAGATTGGTCTGGAATAAAATGAGAAGAAAAACTAGGTTAACGTTTACACCTAAGTACAAACTTTCCCCCAGTATTTTCTAATTTGATATAACTCCTATGGAGCATCAAATAAACTCTTTATACCAGAATTTATTTCACAAAAATGTATTGTCAGGATCTTTTTCTTTTTGCCGTTTCATTGAAGATATTTAGAAGTAAAAATTAAGTAGACATTCATAGAGAAGGAAGTAATGCATTAGGGAAAATACTGCCAACATAATAAATAAACAACTATCAAAAGCTGAATATTTATCCTTCATTGTAGGATTTTTCCAAAGCTTCTTGTTTTCTTAATTTAATCTTTGCTTGCTAACCACTTGTTGCGGAACCATTAAAAGTTATGAAGCACTGAAAAAAATAATTTATGACAGGTTTTCAAAATTGTAGGCATCATAGCATCCCCTTGGTCATGTGACTGCAATGTGCCTGTATGGCAACAGTGATCTATCACATAATGATCATTTCTAACCTTCACAGCCAACTTTTGACAAGCTAAATCAATGGATCAATGAAGAAGCCATCAGGAAGTCAGAAAATTGTAGTCATATGACATTCCACTTAGTAACTAATGGTGATTTGCCTCATGATTGTAGCTAAAACTGATGGTATGTCAATGCGGTCACATGACATTACACTCCATGGACATGTTGCTTAGCAACACAATTGCAGGTCCTAATTAGGATAAATTAAATGCAGGAGACTTGTATTTGGCAGCTAATACTGAGCTAATAATCTATAATGCAACAATGATGCATTAATTTAATTAATAAATATTCCTTACAAAGTACAGAAAACAAAGAACATTTTATTTTATAAGATTTTATGATTCTTTAAGGAAATTGGAAAAAAATGCACAATGACTTTTGACCAAAGAGACTAACCTCACATTACCACCAAAAATACTAATATATAACAATTTGTTTGCAATCTTTCCAGCATAATGTAGGGTTTATCTCACATTTTCAGGAACTCAAAAAAGGCCTGTTGTATTGAATCCAAAATTTTTATATTCCTGATAAGAATCCTTTGCTTATGGCAATTGGCCACAAGTTATATATTATTCTTCAAATCTTCATGATTGTCACTAATGAGGTTTAGTTTACATAAACTATTTTGAAACCAAGTAATAATGTGACCAATCCTTCTCAAAAGAACATTCAACAAAATACAATTTCCATCAATAATTAAGATATTAATGTGATAATCTTCTATTCTTCTTTGTACGAAATAAAATTAAAATTGTTCTTAAAACTCCAAGCATTACATTATTAAATAATATATATGGCCTATCATATTTTCTAATTGTTGGTCAATAGCAGAAATGCACAATCAGTTTAGAAACTAGAGATAAGATGAAAAGCAGATAGCAAAAGAGAGTCTGTATAATATTGTTAGCTTTATAACAAACAGAAAGACAGTCAAAGAAAGCATGTATTAGGTACAGTGGGGCAAAAAAGTATTTAGTCAGCCACCAATTGTGCAAGTTCTCCCATTTAAAAAGATGAGAGGCCTGTAATTGTCATCATAGGTAGACCTCAACTGCGAGAGACAAAATGAAAAAACAAATCCAGACAATCAAATTGTCTGATTTGGAAAGAATTTATTTGCAAATTATGGTGGAAAATAAGTATTTGGTCACCTACAAACAAGCAAGATTTCTGGCTCTCACAGACCTGTAGCTTCTTCTTTAAGAGACTCCTCTGTCCTCCACTCATTACCTGTATTAATGGCCTGTTTGAACTTGTTATCAGTATAAAAGACACCTGTCCACAACCTCAAACAGTCACACTCCAAATTCCACTATGGTGAAGACCAAAGAGCTGTGGAAGGACACCAGAAACAAAATTGTAGACCTGCACCAGGCTGGGAAGACTGAATCTGCAATAGGCAAGCAGGTTGGTGTGAAGAAATCAACTGTGGGAGCAATAATTAGAAAATGGAAGACATACAAGACCACTGATAATCTCCCTCCAACTGGGGCTCCACGCAAGATCTCACCCTGTGGGGTCAACATGATCACAAGAACAGTGAGCAAAAATCCCAGAACCACAAGGGGGACCTAGTGAATGACCTGCAGAGAGCTGGGACCAACGTAACAAAGGCAACCATGAATAACACACTACGCCGCCAGGGACTCAGATCCTGCAGTGCCAGACGTGTCCCCTGCTTAAGCCAGTACATGTCCGGGCCCGTCTGAAGTTTGCTAGAGAGCATTTGGATGATCCAGAAGAGGATTGGGAGAATGTCATATGGTCAGATGAAACCAAAGTAGAACTGTTTGGTAGAAACACAATTCGTAGTGTTTGGAGGAGAGAGAAAGCTGAGTTGCATCCAAAGAACACCATACCTACTGTGAAGCATGGGGGTGGCAACATCATGATTTGGGGCTGTTTCTCTGCAAACGGACCAGGACGACTGATCCATGTACAGGAAAGAATGAATGGGGCCATGTATCATGAGATTTTGAGTGCAAACCTCCTTCCATCAGCAAGGGCATTGAAGATGAAACATGGCTGGGTCTTTCAGCATGACAATGATCCCAAACACACCGCCCTGGCAACAAAGGAGTGGCTTCGTAAGAAGCATTTCAAGGTCCTGGAGTGGCCTAGCCAGTCTCCAGATCTCAACCCCATAGAAAATCTTTGGAGGGAGTTGAAAGTCTGTGTTGCCCAGCGACAGCCCCAAAACATCACTGCTCTAGAGGAGATCTGCATGGAAGAATGGGCCAACATACCAGCAACAGTGTGTGCCAACCTTGTGAAGACTTACAGAAAACGTTTGACCTCTGTCATTGCCAACAAAGGATATATAATGAAGTATTGAGATGAACGTTTGATATTGACCAAATACTTATTTTCCGCCATAATTTGCAAATAAATTCTTTCCAGATCAGACAATGTGATTGTCTGGATTTGTTTTCTTATTTTGTCTCTCATAGTTGAGGTCTACCTATGATGACAATTACAGGCCTCTCTCATCTTTTTAAGTGGGAGAACCTGCACAATTGGTGGCTGACTAAATACTTTTTTGCCCATTGTATTAGTCTAAATGCGGTTTGGAAACTAGACAGGATTACACTAATATGAAGCCTAATCATTAAATTTCCACAACAGCCATGAATTATTTATTTGCTTATTCAATTTGTATGCTGCCCATTTCAAATCAGTGATTCTGGGTAGCAAATAATCATAAAAACAATTAAAATATGTAAAACATAATACAAGAAAGATATTAAATATAAATAGCAGCCAAGAAATATTATAATCAGTCAACATAATTAGGAAATGTGGCCGTTCACACACTCCCAGGACTTGGTGCATTGCCAAGTCTTTAAGGCCTCCTGAATGGCTAATAGAAGCAGAGTCGTCCTAATTGAAAGAAGGACATTTCAGACGTAGGAACTATGGCAGAAAACGCATGTCTCCTGGACCCTATCAGCCAGGATTCTTGCCTAATCCTAATGATTAGTAAGTTGCATCTTATGAAATAAGGCCATAGTAAAAACTAAGTTAAAAATACATTACAGTTCATCTAATTTAAAAAGAAAACAAAAAACATGCCTGTACAAAAACAGGCATTGATATATTGCAAGGGTATAAAACTTGCAATGTCACATGACCTGTCACGATGTATCACAACTTTTTTTCCATTGCTGGCAATGGGGTGGGCGCAGTTTTGCTATGATGCATCCGGCCCATAGGCCGGCAGTTTGACATCCCTGATATATTGATATAGCAATGTTACAAAAGTTGGATACGCTACTGGAGACTTTTAGTTCTTTAGTATGGCATAACTGCCATATGAAAACTGTTTGAATAGTTTTAATAGGAGGGAAATTAATTCTGCTCTTCCCAATTGAAAAATACAGTATTTGATATCTACTGAAAGTCTGAAATAAACATGAATACTCTTGGCAAGGGATACCATTGTTTTCATCCAACAGTACTATTGGGGGACAGCATCCAAGTATGCCAATGCAAAGGCCCTGCTATGAGATGTAATTAATAAATGATACAGTGATGAGAAGTGCTAGTTCTATCGCCTTGTAAATCAAAATTTAAACTTCTCAGGTTACATCCAAGCCTAGTATGAATACACAACATACCAGGTTACTACCTAATATTGAACTTTCAATTTTCTGAGTGGGAGATGAGAGTCTTCCCCATTAGGCCACCACGCTGCTCCACATAATTACTCCCTTATGTTGAATATCTCATAATTGCATTACAAAATGTTTGGGCTCATAATTAAAGAGTTAAAGATGCTTTCAAAAAGAAGATACGGCACCTGGAATTAAATGCCAAGATACTTGAAACTTGAATATCAATCTTCCAGGCATACGACTGTCATCAGGAAACCATCGCTAACTACTATGTTTTTATTTTCCATAAGTTGCCTAGAGTCGCTGTGAGCAAATAGACGGCTTTATAAATTGTCCAAAATAAATAAACAAACAAACAAACAAACAAACAAACAAACAAGCAAGCAAGCAAGCAAGCAAGCTAGTTTGACACCTTGCTGGGTGACTGAAGTTGCCCTGAAGTTGCTCAAACACTTTGTTTCCCACCTCACAAAGTTTAAAAACTCAATAACAAATAGGCAGAATTTTGAACATCACTACAGCCTATCCCAGTATAATCATCTTTTTTTCTGCAAATACATAGATTAAGATTCTAAAACCTAGATCCCAAGTCATATAGAAATTTCACTAGTTGGTATTATGGAACACAATACTGTCCAAGAAGAAATTATTATTTTATTTTATTTTTTATTGAAAGTTTTATAAATTTTACAAAAAGACAAAAACAATACAAAACGAAAACAACATATACAAAAAAAAAAAAAACTAAACATTACATATAAAAAAAACCCCATCCCCCACCCCTCACCATAAACCCTCCCTTCCCCCCCCCTGAGCTTCCCAGAGCAGAATATAGGCTTAATTGAAAATTAACAAATAAAAAATTAA